TGTTATAAAAAATTTAAATTTTTGTTTTTTTGTTTTTTTTTTTTTTTTTTTTTTTTTTTTCCCCAGGTCATCAGTGTGCCAGACGGCGACTTCTTCTTTGACTTTGTGCGCCACTTGACTGACTGGATCAAGAAAGCCAGACATTTGAAAGACGGTAATAAAAACAAACAAAAAAAAAGACGCCTTCCAAACTTTGCTACCACAAATGAAAAAAAATGACATTATATCCCACCCGTGTGTGCAGGCGTGGTACCTTCACTGACCTACCAGGTGTTCTTCATGAAAAAGCTATGGACCAACACCATACCAGGGAGAGACTCCATGGCGGACTCCATCTTCCACTACTACCAAGTCATTAGACGCTCTCCTATCTAAATCGAGGATGAATTAAACTATTATTTAATAGTTTGAAAAATGCAGTTTTAGCGGTCCTGGCTTAATCAAGTCAATAATTCTCCGATGTAAGTTTTTGGTCTTCTGTGTAGGAGCTGCCAAAGTACCTGCGAGGCTACCACAAGTGTTCCAAGGAGGAAGTGCAGCAGCTGGCGGCGCTGATCTACAGGGTGAAGTTCGAGGAGGACAAGTCTCACTTCCAGAACATGGCCAAGATCCTCAAAGACCTTGTTCCTCAGGACCAGAGCCGACATCTTTCCACCGACGACTGGAAGAGGGTAAGCGTGGAGCGCCGTGTTTGGTTTCCATGCTGAACTGCTGATTGATCCAAGTTTTTTTTTTTTTTTTCCTCAATCAGTCAATCATGTCAGTGTTCAACAAACATTCTGGAAAGACGAGAGAAGAAGCCAAACTGTCCTTCCTCAAAATCATCTACAAGTGGGCCACTTTTGGTTCAGCCTTCTTTGAGGTCAAGGTACAAATATCCCAATCACCCAAACGTCATGGTTGAATGGAATCCCCCGTGTTTAAAACATTTGTTTTGATGCAGCAAACCACTGATCCAAATTACCCAGAAACTCTCCTGATCGCCATAAACAAACATGGAGTGAGTCTGATTGACCCAAAGTCAAAGGTAGGCGCTGTTTTGTTTAGATTAAGGGGTGGAAACCTATTTCCATTTTTTTATTGTGGGGGGGGGGCATACCAAATTTTGGTTTGGCATTTTGTTTTAAAAGAGTTCCTCTGAGCTTTTGTTTTAAGAATTTAATGGTGTGTCACCCATGTTTTAATCTCACCTAAACCTTACTGATAGGAAGCAGATGGTTTTTTTTTTTTTTTTTAACCGTTTTGCTTCCTGCAGGACATTCTGACCACTCACCCCTTCACCAAGATCTCCAACTGGAGCAGCGGCAACACCTATTTCCACATCACCATTGGCAACCTGGTGAGAGGAAGCAAGCTGCTGTGTGAAACCGCGCTGGTGAGTGCCCATATGAGCTCCACCAAGGCTCAACTGTTAGCAAAAGTGAGCCAAAAATATTGCCAAATTTACGTGGGGTCTTTCTTCCATGTGCTGGTTCAGCGAGGATCACGTGAAAGCAAGGGTCAGGCGGATACATTTTTGGGGGGGCAGTTGGAACTGCTTCCTTTGTGATTCAAATTGCGAAAATAAATTCTCTAACAAAAGGGGGGGGGGGGTCAAGCCAATTTTTTTTTGTGTTTGTGGTTTTTTTTTTTTTTTTTTTTTCGTCATTCTGGTTGGATGAAATGTGTGATTGACACGCTAGTTTAGCAACTCATTGAGGATACTGTATTGTGCATTGAGAGTTTTTTTTTTTTTTTTTAACCGTTTTGCTTCCTGCAGGACATTCTGACCACTCACCCCTTCACCAAGATCTCCAACTGGAGCAGCGGCAACACCTATTTCCACATCACCATTGGCAACCTGGTGAGAGGAAGCAAGCTGCTGTGTGAAACCGCGCTGGTGAGTGCCCATATGAGCTCCACCAAGGCTCAACTGTTAGCAAAAGTGAGCCAAAAATATTGCCAAATTTACGTGGGGTCTTTCTTCCATGTGCTGGTTCAGCGAGGATCACGTGAAAGCAAGGGTCAGGCGGATACATTTTTGGGGGGGCAGTTGGAACTGCTTCCTTTGTGATTCAAATTGCGAAAATAAATTCTCTAACAAAAGGGGGGGGGGGATCAAGTCAATTTTTTGTTGTTGTTGTTGTTTTTTTTTTTTAATGTTTAGCCAGTTTTCTGGGGTTAGTGTTAGATCACAGCGTTAGTTTTTGGAATTCGTGTCCATACACACAAATATCTCGTTTCACCGTGGCAAGAAATATGGCTGTAAAAACACGTCTATAATTTCAGCCCTTAATAACACACAATTATTTTAAATTGTAATCACCCCCAGGGCTACAAAATGGATGACCTGCTGACATCATACATCAGTCAGATGCTAACCACCATGACCAAACAGCGAAGCTCTCGAGGCACCAGCAAGTGAACGACCGGCGTCGCCATCTTGGGTTTCATGAAACCCATCGTCATTTTGGCCCTTAACACTCACTAGTTGCCTTCCAGTTAGCTTTCTCTTTTTTTTTCCACCCAATGGTGGTGCGTGTTACAATGTTATTTATGTATTTCAGTTTTTTGACACAGTTCAAGAAATGATCAATTTTGTTCACATTTTTTTTAGCAGCTTTACCTTCAAGATGTTTCAGGAAGCAAGATGGCTAGCTCAAATCCATGTTGTTTCAGGAAGCTAACTAGATAATCCATTTGAGAGGTAAGCAGATTTATATTTCAAGATGTTGGTCAACAAGCAAACAACGCATGCCAGAGACTTCACCTCCATTCATCACGATATAGAATCTGTTTTGTATATATTTACCAATTTGCCGCATCATATTGAGACTTGGTAATATTTCTGCACTCTTTGTGTCGCTAATTAAACGAGCACAATATACTTAAAAACAAATACTGTACTTTGATTTTTAAAAAAACGTAGTATTTACATATACAGTATTCAGATATAACCCACAGTGGAATGGCCCTTATAAATTGTATTTTGTTACAAACGTATAAAGTCTATTCTGTATTAAATAATGAAATACCACTCAACAAAGTGAAATGAAAAGTACGATTTTAGGTCGAGTGGTTGCCATCTTAAGTAACCGGTCAAAGTTGGGCCGGGGTTGCCAGATTGTGCTTTTGTCCCGCTGGTGGAGTCGTGGCGTGGGACACGGACCAAATGTCACTCCGCTCTGTAACACGAGTGTATGTCAATTAAAAGTTTTGACATCAAGTTGTTGATTTGGTTTTCATTCTGGAGAGACACGTGGCGGAAAATATAACTGACCTGATTCAAGCTGAACGTACTTGTCTCCTTCCAGTGTGCTTTTGAGTCCTGAGAGGCCACTCGGGTCCACCGGTTTTCTTGCCCGACGACACCTTTCAGGAAACGCAACATGAGCCGTGGAAATATTTTAAAATAAGTTGCACTGAATGACTATTTTACCTGTGCAAGGTAAAGATGGATGCGACCAGCAGCAGTGACAGCACGTCCGTGACGAGCCACATGGTCTTGTATTCATCGGGAGTCTAACAAACCCACAGTACACTGAGTGAGTAAATATATAAATTACAAGTTCATCAGTTGTGATTCCCATGTATTTATCATTTATTGATTTAGCTCTGTCCACTCTGCCTCACCGTTTTTCTCGATGGTAGGCCTTCCTATTTGCTTATAAATGCCACTTCCTCTTGATTTTTTTTATTTTTTATTTTTGAACTGGATGGGACGGATAGTTTGTGAAACTGAGGAGGATGTGGCTCCCTCATCTCCAGTGCGATCTGCACCCATGGTGTCCATCCTTGTTGTGTCATTCTTCCCCCAAACTTTGAAAATAAAGACCTCCTTCTCTAGCTGACTAAATTAACACCCTTGGACATGATTTGCCTGAATAAAGTGAGATTGGTGAGGAAAGAATCACCATGAGGAAGAGGGGCTGCTTCATGGCCTTTAGAATATGCGGAGCATTGGTGGTGACCGAGTGGGCTCCCGTGCACCAGGCCACCGAGTAGATCCACGCCTCACTGATCACATACAGGTTGGTGGTAATGTTTGCGGCGGCGTAGTGACTGCGTGCAAAAAATAAAATAAAATATATATGTATTCATTCAGATAATTACCTTAAAAAAAACATCACAACACGCACACCTGATAAGCTGGACCGACATGGAGGTGTAGTGCAGGTTGAGCCTGTTGATATGTTGGCTCTGGAGACGCTCAATGGAGTCCACCGTACCTGATGTCTGCTGAAAATCCTCTTCCTGTTCCTGTACGAGCTCGCGAAACTCGGGGTTCAACCACAGCACCTGGTGAGTGGACAAAATTCACACAGGTGAAGGAAAAATACACATACGTAATATATATTCATGCCACTGGGTGGCAGTGTCGCTCCGCTAACATCTTCCTGTTTACTTGATGCAAGATTCATTTATTTGGTGATTACCTATCATGACACTTGGAAGACCAGAAGGTTCAAATGTTGCTATGGCAACAAGTTTTACAATGGAGTGTCACCTGTGAGGGCTTAATAGTAGACTCATTCCGGATGACGTCCAGCGTACGCTGGATCCACAAGTTACTGTACGGGTGCTCCCGCGGGGGCCGGTAGAGGTCAAAGATGACCAGTTTGTCGTAGCGGGCCGCCACCTCCAGGAATTCCAGCAGGGTGCAAACGGGCTGCTCTCCCGCCCGCTGACGATCCTCCGCTCCCAGCGAGCCCACCGTGCCATACGGGTCCGTCTGTTTTGGGCCCGTAAAGTCAACGAAAAACATTTTCCAACGGGTAGAGCTGGGGCAGGGTTTGACACTGCTCCATTGAAAAAAAAAATGAATAAATTTGATGGCAACTCACAGAAAGGAACCAAGCGCCCGCATTGAGTCTCCTCAATTCCGGCCACGTGTACATGTCGGACATCTTGTCACCATGATTGGGAAACACCTCGTCAACGTTGGTGGTGCGCCGCAACGAGCGGTCGTGCATTAGGAAGGGAACGCCATCATAACTGACACACCCCAAAATAATGCAATGGTGTTTGGATTAATATTGTACAGTGAACGCCTCTGTGGGGGACAGGGACCAAGCCCCGCCACAAACACCCAAAATCCGCGCGTAACTAATGACTGGGGCTTAGTTGGCCTTTCAATGCCACAATATGAGCATCATTCTACTGACACAATAAATACACTAAAGGAAGCCAGTCTCTTCAAAGATCAGTAGCCATAAGATGCTGTCTGATTTTTGTTGCCAATTTTTTGGCCATATCATGACTGCTATTTTTCTTACACTAGTTTAAAATAATGTCATTTACCAACATGTACTTTTCCATCAAAACCGCAGTCACAAACTGACCTGATGATGACGTCCGTCTCCAGACCGTCACAACCCGCCTCCACCGCCTTCTCGAAAGCCATCGCTGTGTTTTCCGGAGCCATCTGAACGGGAGAATATATATATACACTCAAACCTACAGATCAATGGCGGTGAAACTACGAGTAATGTCCACGCTCACCATGGGGGCTCCTCTGTGGCCGAAAAGCTTCGGCGGAGGGCCCAGTGTCCCACGATTTCTGATACATGGCGAATACATCCCGAGAGGCACCAAGTAGAGGGCCAACAGGATACTGAGATACACCACCAAAATAAGGTACCGCCTTACTGTCAATTACACACACACACACAAAAATCTCATTCACACATGCAGTCATGCGGTGTGAAAAATGAAAAGACAATTCGATTCCCAGAACTCTGTCTAAATCTGAACACCCGTCCAATAAAGAAGCAGCTTTGCGGTGAGAATGGTTGCCAATCATTCCACATTTTCTTGGATTATTACTATAATCTGGATTTGGATAAAACTTGGTTAAATGCTTTAGCTTCACACAAAGCTCTTTTTTTTTCCTGATAATTTTTCCAGTCACAACTCACTTATCTTGAGCATACTGAAGAAGTGCAACGCCACCGGCCAAGCCAGCGCCGTCATCAGCGAGACGCCGCCAACATGAAGGTACGGCGCAGTCACCTGGTGGGCAGAAACTGATGAAAGAAGAGCAACGCGGGACACGGCACGAGGACCGCCACGTACAACGAGGGCTCACCTGGAAGGAAAGCCGCACCGTGATCCATTCTAGAGCCCACAGGTCAGACATGACGGCGATGGCGGCAATGGCAAACATCAAGCTCAGCATCACGACAATCTGACCGCAGAGGACACAACATTAGGTACAGTCGAGATACACACACACACACGTATACTTGTCGACACCCAATAAAATAAGGCGGTTTTTTTTTCCATGCGATATGTATCTTGATACATGTGGTGCGATACAATTCAAGGATGGACCGAAACAATTCGATTCTTTAAAATCAAAACCGATTTTCCGATATCATAATTTTTTATTTTTTTTTGCTACACCCCAAATGTTGTCTGCTGTGCATGTATATTATTCAATACATTTATTTCTGACATGCACATCAAGTTAGACACAACTCTATTTTCATGACAGTGAAATGTTCATTTGTATTTGCCAATCTTGCCTCGCTGCGCTGTCCGATGCAACTCATCGGCAAATGAGGTCACGCGCCATCTGAAAACGTTTTGCAACATGCCTGCGCAAACTGATGTGACCTCACACACAAGAAAAACAACTATGTGCACTATAGCACTTTACACAAATGGTCACTGAACTCACCTTGGGCATTTACACGTGATAATCAATGTAAAGGGGTGCAGGCAAACTGTAACGGCAAAGTCGACCGCACGGGCTATTAATAGTAGAGACGGCAGAAGCAAACTTTTGGTTTCACTTTTGATGATGCATGAGGTGCATTCAAAGACAGCCAACTAAACAGAAAAACTCAGATGCGGGGGCTTTCTGTCAAGGCAAAATCCCCTTTGTCTCAAAGGTAGACAAAAAAAAAAAAAAACGCCGAATGAAATAAACCTGACAGGGTTGCATGGAACAACGCAAACATTCCACGAGATTAGAGGGTGTCAAAGTCACACTTGAATTGCTTTGAAAACACAACACTTGTTATCTTGACATACAAAACGTTGTTTATTACTCTGATCGTTTTTGTCAAACTTCAGGGCGGGGGCGGGGGGGAATCAGTCGAACTTTGAATGAGAAATATAGTATGAAAGTTGAAAATGCTCAAAGAATGTGAGGGAGTCCTTCCTCACATTTGCTGATCAAGAAATGGCGCAATCTCACATTACACCGTCCTGATCTGAGGTCAGCGGCGGTGTGTTGGAGGCGTACCTTGTGACTCCAGTGTAAAGACAGACTTTGGCCCTGCGACAGCAAGCACACAGCCAGCAGCTGCAAAGAAAGGCAGCAACCGTTTATAACCAAGTTGGGGTTATCAGTTTGGGTTTTTAAACTCGGGTGGGTTAGTGTTTCAAAGTAGGTTTTAAACTATGGTCAGGGTAGCAACGTAGGGTTTCAAACTAGGCTCAGGATTTTTAATTCGTTTTTTAAACTTGGGTTTGAGTTTCTCAAACCCGGATTAGGGTTTGAAAGAAGGCTTTTAAACTAGGATTCGGGTTTTAGACCAGGGTTGGGCTTTCGAAGTAGGGTTTTAAACTATGCTTGGTGTTTCAAAGTAGGGTTTTAAACTAGGGCATTTATTCGGCCAAATATCAGAATCTGCATCTCCCTCAAAAAGTCCATCTCGGTCGGGCCCACTTAAAACGACGCAACGTGTCAGCATCTCACCATGAGCCCGGCCACGTAGGAGAAGAACAGGGCGGCGATGACCAGCAGCACCAGCGACCACGCCCACCAGAAGCCCAAGTTGCCATAGTTGAACCTAAGCAAGTGCACACACCTTCGTCATTTGCCAACAAGTCGTAGACAACGCGTGTGTCATTCAGCGCCAACCCACCAGTCAAAGTCATTGTAGTCGTTCTTGGCTTGCGTCCAGAAGTAAAGGAAAAGCAGCGTGAGGCAGAAGGCCGCCGCCAGCACGCCGAAGCTGGCGCCTTCCGACTGCACGAGCGGGAAGCAGGAAGTTCACATTGACGGGCTAATCAAGGCACGGGTTTGTAAGCGCGGCGGTGGTCCGCTGACCTTGCTGCAGCAGCAGTCGCCGGGCCGCGCCAGGCTGCCGTGCTTCCGTCGCCACCGGCAACTGTACAGGCCCAGCAGACATGATGTCAGAGGTCGGTGCTTGCCCTGCAACGTGGGCGCCATGGGGCTCAGCGACCTTCTGACCCCGTGGCCATCTTGATCATAAAATAGTAATACGGCTTCTCACCAAAAATCTGAAATTGGACATGGGATGGAAAAATGAATTATTATTAGTCTTATTTTCAGCATATTACAACATAAGAAATTCTCGATCCTTTACTATTTTAAATAAAGGCACGCGGCAGACAAATACATCTTGGAACATTTTAAAATTGTGTGTTTGTGGAAATGCATCTAAAAAAAAAAGAAAAAATAGGAAATGACAATACCTGTATGTCTCCTTTCCTATCTAAACAGTCTCTGCAGTGCAAACACTTTTTATAGCAGATGTGAAACGTCAAAGATAAGATAAGATTAGTCTCATGGGGCGTGTACAATGCACAGTATGATTACAGTATAAATTTTAAGTTGTTGCAAGACCAAGTAGCCAAATTCCGTTCAAATGTCAATCACTTTAATGTTCCGCTAAAGCGGGGCCCCATGAGGAGATTAGTCGTCAAATGTTTCCATTTGTCAAGCCCATCTACTTTCCCCTATTAATGTATTTATTATGTCTAAACCGAATTAAATTCACCAATCTTATAAATACATATTTTATTTTGTTGTCCTCGGACGCTTGTTAGTTTGAAGCAGGGAGACCTTTCTTGTCAAAACGACGAGCTTTGACAGCGAAGTTTGGTGACAGTGACTGGAGAATGGAGAAAATAAACCCCAAAATGCAGTTTCATAGAAAACAGAAATAATTCGCGTGTTCCCACCTTCCAGTCGGTTGTCGCAGCTTGTTGCACCCGGTCGATAGAATCCGCTTCCTCGGTTAGGACAAGTCCGATGAAGTGTCGCCAGGCGATGCTGAGTCAAGCTAACGGAGGTAACAAAAAACCGGACGTAGAAATAGTCCCGTCGGCGACTCGGTCCTGCGTTTCAGTATAAAAGTTGTTTTATTCTGAAACTTAACATTGTACCTTATACGTAGTATTATATCAGTCATAGTAAAGGTAATGCTAATAGAACAGGATTAAATTGCATATTATTTTTTACAGCCTCTTGCTCATCCTACCAGCGTAAACAATACATCATCATGACAGATCAATCAAAGGAAAGTAATATTCCGGGAATTATAACAGCATTGTTATATGTTGTCACTTTCTAAAGCTCATTTGTTTTTTCCTGAAAACATACATTTTTAGTCATTAAAACAATATATTTAATATGTGTGCGATACTAAGTGTCTATTTGAGGCAAGGTGTTTATTTGTTCAAGTGGATTCCACGCCTGAATTACATATTAAGACTGTGGTTAGCCTCAGGGAATCCTGTTAGACCACTCCAAACTATGTACTTAACTTGTCTCAATAACAGTTAAAAAAAATGATCAAGTTTCAAGTATCGTACGACAAATGATGCCATTTCCTTTCAACCTTTTACAAGCAAATCTTTCTTCACCCGGTGCTTTTGTCCATTCCTGCCATATGGCAATGTTTCCCAACTGTTGGGTCATGGGGCAAAAGTGTCCATCGTTCCGCCCCATGAGACTACTTTTGAGTCATTTCACATTGGGAAATGTTCATGTCACCACACCAACCAAAAGTGTCACAAAATGTATGAAAACTGAAAAAGCGATGATCAGTATTTTTATCTACAGTGTTGAAGGTCAAACTGTATTATATTACATGAACAGGAATACAATCTCTATTTAGATTTTGAAATTTGGGCTGAGTATGCTGTATTTTATTTTTTTCATCATGGTAGTTTTTTTGGTACTTCGTGTACAAAAAAAAGAACGTCTCTTAACTTTTGCACTTGATTTCAAAAGGACAAGTGGCGTTGGCCCACTCCGCAGGAAAGTGCACCCCTTCTATTTGTAGGTGATAGGGACTGGGCAGGCCCACAAATACAGAAAATCTGCATACAATTGATGCTCATGATAAATGCATTTCAAACAATATAATATAGGTACTGTATATTTATATTTTTAACCCTTTAACAATATAAATGATTGAATAAGGCTGCAGTAGAAGCCTTTATTTTGAAAGCCTGCGCCTCTTACTTCCCGTCACTCGTAAAAGTACAGTGGCGGGACGTAAGTTTGTCCTGCTGTAGGAGGGAGCGACGGAGGAGTCGAAATTGTCTGTCCTGCCGATCCAATTTTCGAAGTAGCCGATGAGCTGACCGCAGTCGGCAGGGATGGACGACGTGTGGGTCTCCGTGGCGGCGCTGGCAACGGCGGTGCTCCTCAGCGAGATGGTCCGCCGCGCAACCGCTCGCTACCTCCGGGGAGCCGCCGCAACTCTTGCGCTGGAAGCGGCGTCCACCTTCCAGCTCTGCTGCTGCACACACGAGCTCAAGCTGCTGGCGATCTCGGCGCTGCTGGAGCCAGCGTACGGCCTGATGCTGGGCTACGCCGTCACGGTCGTCCACTTGCTCTCCTTCCGTGGAGCTTCGTGCAATCCATGCGGCGTCGTAGAGCGCGTTTGTCGGGGGACTTGCCGTGTAGGTGCGGCCTTGGTGTTCGTCGCCGGCCAATTCGGCGCAGCGTTTGCGGCGCGCTACGCCGCCGCCTCCATGTGGTCTCTGGGGCTGGCGGAGCACCACGTTCGCCACCGGCGCTTCGGGTTCAGGTGCTTCGACCCGCTCGGGGGAACCGTGCTGGAAGCCGCCGCCGTGGAGCTCGGTTGCGCTTTCGTTGTCCAGACGGCGGCCCTTCATATTCACAAGGTGGACGACAAACTACGCGTTCACGTCGTTGCCGCGATCATCACTGCGCTGGTGTACGCAGGTGAGTTCTGGTGACAAGTAACATTTCGTTTTCCTTGAAACATCTTTAACACACAGGTAACAGATAACACAACCAGCAGCCTAATCTCAATAACAAGTTACAGCTAATGCTCAAACGAGCTACGTTGTCTTGTTTTAAGAACTCTTACCAAGAGAAATGATCCTGCGGTTTCGGCAGGTATTTGCTTCATTTAAATAACATAATCCTCATTTCATGAAGTGTTTGTTTTATCCCAGTTTTTGAAGTGTATTAATAACAATCACCCGATTTCGTTTTCAGGTGGAAACATTTCGGGAGCCGTGTTTAACCCCGTCCTGGCCTTCTCCATCAACTTCCCCTGCAGTGGCCACACGTACCTGGAGTACTGCTTCATTTACTGGCTGGGACCTGCCTTGGGTATGCTATGCTAAAAGCTAATTTGTTTTTTACATTCATTCACTGGTACGCTACTTATACAGTACTTCTGTTGTCACCCCCAGGGACCGCCAGCTGCATTCTGTTCTTTGAGAAGATCCTCCCATTCCTCTCCGGGGCAAAGCCGACAGGCCAAGGTGTCATCAGCGCTCAGAAGCACAAATCGCACTAGTGAAATGTTTGCACTTTGCCGTAAGACATGTTTGAACAGCACATTCAAATACACAACCGTGTTTCGGTACTTGGGAGGAGCTGGCACAAAATGGAGGACGACAAGCTCTGTTGTCATTTTTGGAAAATGCAGGTTGGCTTCCCCTTTTGCGATGTAATTTTCATCTCACGATTTTTTAAAAGAAATTTATTTATGGGGCTGTGAATGTATATTATCATGATTTTCTGACGCCTGCACATTTAGAATATTCCAGTTCAAATGATTATTTGTATTTATTTATTTTCTTCTCATGTTTGAGAATGCGTCGTAAAATTCTCATCATGGTTAGTTGGGGGAGCCGACTTCATCTTGTAATACCGCTTTTGTCCTCAAGAGGTGCAAGTGAGCCAAAGTAGGGAAACAACTGAAATCGAGATTGATTTGTGATTTTGTGAATGTTTTTTTTTCTCCTTGACAAATATTAGGATTATAATCCAGTTTCAGTCGAAAGTGATTTATCAGACTGATAATTTACTGTTTTTTTCCCCCCTCTCACTTTCCCCACTCACTCAGGAACAAGATTGTAATCATTTTTATTTAAAAAGTTGTCTGATGATTCATCAAAACATGTCATTAGCCACTTAAAGTCCGAAGTCTTCCATTGTAGTAACGCGCTGCCCACCGGTGAATTTCCAAAGCGGTTAATTTGAGTTCTCTTTTTATTTTTCACTGTACCAAAACTGTGACGGGTTTGTTCAGTTGGCTGCCCTCGTTTGTGTGCAAAGTGACTCGATGACTATGAATGTTTGTCTCTGGAAAATGCTGAAACAATTCACAGAGTCTTAATGTTAGCATTGTGCTAAGTTGTAACATTGGTTGCACACTGAATGATGGATAAAAGTACAAATCATGACAAACTTGCACTCTTGTTTTTGTTTTTGTTTCAATCTTACTCAGTAAAATAAGCAGGCGGTGGAAGATGTGGTCAAGCGGAACATTAAGGGAGTTTCCAGAGTTTCATGGCCGTCCACTTTTGTACGTTTTTTGCGTGCTGTGTAGGACAGAAAGGAAAAGGCCGTAAAATGTCATCTGCCTCCGCAGCATCTGTCGCTGTTACACAACCCGACCTTTGTACCAGAGCACTGTCATCGCCACTCGGAACATTTAACACGTTAAAGACTACGCAGATTGGAGCACAGACGTCCACCAAGCGAGCCTTACTTTAAACTTTGGACTCAAAATGTCGCAAAAACCTATAAAATGTGTGACTGAGGAGAAATTATAAGTATGATAGCCGCAAGCCGCTGTTTGAATTTTTTTTACAAATTCAATCTATACTTAGAAATTCTAACTCGTGTTTTTCATTGGACAACAATGATAAAAGTTGGCATTGAATGCTTACTTGGAAGCAAAAGAATGTTTGATTTTTGATCAAAGACATTACTGCAATGAAATCCCAAACTAAATTAGACTTAATATTTTTAGAAATAATGTGAGGGGTGGGGGAGGAAATCAGGCTTAGAAGCACTTTTATTATGACAAATGTACAAGATCATAATAAATGATTGAACAAAAAAGGGGTCAGCTAGGTTCTATAGTAAGGCGTTTTTAGCCGAAAAAAAAAACGACCATGCATAGTAAGGCGTTTTTAGCCCAAAAAAACAACCATGATAGGTAAGACGTTTTTAGCTAAAAAAACGACCATGTATAGTGAGTGAGGCGTTTCTTGCTGAAAAAAAACGACCATGTGTAGTAAGGCGTTTTGAGCCCACAAAAAATGACCATGTATGGTAAGGCGTTTTTAGCTGAAAAAAACGCCCATGTATAGTAAGGTGTTTTTAGCCAAAAAAACGACCATGGATAGTAAGGCGTTTTGAGCCGAAATAAATGCCCATGTATAGTAAGGTGTTTTTAGCCAAAAAAACGACCATGGATAGTAAGGCGTTTTGAGCCGAAATAAATGCCCATGTATAGTAAGGTGTTTTTAGCCAAAAAAACGACCATGGATAGTAAGGCGTTTTGAGCCGAAATAAATGCCCATGTATAGTAAGGTGTTTTTAGCCAAAAAAACGACCATGGATAGTAAGGCGTTTTGAGCCGAAATAAATGCCCATGTATAGTAAGGTGTTTTTAGCCAAAAAAACGACCATGGATAGTAAGGCGTTTTGAGCCGAAATAAATGCCCATGTATAGTAAGGTGTTTTTAGCCAAAAAAACGACCATGGATAGTAAGGCGTTTTGAGCCGAAATAAATGCCCATGTATAGTAAGGTGTTTTTAGCCAAAAAAACGACCATGGATAGTAAGGCGTTTTGAGCCGAAATAAATGCCCATGTATAGTAAGGTGTTTTTAGCCAAAAAAACGACCATGGATAGTAAGGCGTTTTGAGCCGAAATAAATGCCCATGTATAGTAAGGTGTTTTTAGCCAAAAAAACGACCATGGATAGTAAGGCGTTTTGAGCCGAAATAAATGCCCATGTATAGTAAGGTGTTTTTAGCCAAAAAAACGACCATGGATAGTAAGGCGTTTTGAGCCGAAATAAATGCCCATGTATAGTAAGGTGTTTTTAGCCAAAAAAACGACCATGGATAGTAAGGCGTTTTGAGCCGAAATAAATGCCCATGTATAGTAAGGTGTTTTTAGCCAAAAAAACGACCATGGATAGTAAGGCGTTTTGAGCCGAAATAAATGCCCATGTATAGTAAGGTGTTTTTAGCCAAAAAAACGACCATGGATAGTAAGGCGTTTTGAGCCGAAATAAATGCCCATGTATAGTAAGGTGTTTTTAGCCAAAAAAACGACCATGGATAGTAAGGCGTTTTGAGCCGAAATAAATGCCCATGTATAGTAAGGTGTTTTTAGCCAAAAAAACGACCATGGATAGTAAGGCGTTTTGAGCCGAAATAAATGCCCATGTATAGTAAGGTGTTTTTAGCCAAAAAAACGACCATGGATAGTAAGGCGTTTTGAGCCGAAATAAATGCCCATGTATAGTAAGGTGTTTTTAGCCAAAAAAACGACCATGGATAGTAAGGCGTTTTGAGCCGAAATAAATGCCCATGTATAGTAAGGTGTTTTTAGCCAAAAAAACGACCATGGATAGTAAGGCGTTTTGAGCCGAAATAAATGCCCATGTATAGTAAGGTGTTTTTAGCCAAAAAAACGACCATGGATAGTAAGGCGTTTTGAGCCGAAATAAATGCCCATGTATAGTAAGGTGTTTTTAGCCAAAAAAACGACCATGGATAGTAAGGCGTTTTGAGCCGAAATAAATGCCCATGTATAGTAAGGTGTTTTTAGCCAAAAAAACGACCATGGATAGTAAGGCGTTTTGAGCCGAAATAAATGCCCATGTATAGTAAGGTGTTTTTAGCCAAAAAAACGACCATGGATAGTAAGGCGTTTTGAGCCGAAATAAATGCCCATGTATAGTAAGGTGTTTTTAGCCAAAAAAACGACCATGGATAGTAAGGCGTTTTGAGCCGAAATAAATGCCCATGTATAGTAAGGTGTTTTTAGCCAAAAAAACGACCATGGATAGTAAGGCGTTTTGAGCCGAAATAAATGCCCATGTATAGTAAGGTGTTTTTAGCCAAAAAAACGACCATGGATAGTAAGGCGTTTTGAGCCGAAATAAATGCCCATGTATAGTAAGGTGTTTTTAGCCAAAAAAACGACCATGGATAGTAAGGCGTTTTGAGCCGAAATAAATGCCCATGTATAGTAAGGTGTTTTTAGCCAAAAAAACGACCATGGATAGTAAGGCGTTTTGAGCCGAAATAAATGCCCATGTATAGTAAGGTGTTTTTAGCCAAAAAAACGACCATGGATAGTAAGGCGTTTTGAGCCGAAATAAATGCCCATGTATAGTAAGGTGTTTTTAGCCAAAAAAACGACCATGGATAGTAAGGCGTTTTGAGCCGAAATAAATGCCCATGTATAGTAAGGTGTTTTTAGCCAAAAAAACGACCATGGATAGTAAGGCGTTTTGAGCCGAAATAAATGCCCATGTATAGTAAGGTGTTTTTAGCCAAAAAAACGACCATGGATAGTAAGGCGTTTTGAGCCGAAATAAATGCCCATGTATAGTAAGGTGTTTTTAGCCAAAAAAACGACCATGGATAGTAAGGCGTTTTGAGCCGAAATAAATGCCCATGTATAGTAAGGTGTTTTTAGCCAAAAAAACGACCATGGATAGTAAGGCGTTTTGAGCCGAAATAAATGCCCATGTATAGTAAGGTGTTTTTAGCCAAAAAAACGACCATGGATAGTAAGGCGTTTTGAGCCGAAATAAATGCCCATGTATAGTAAGGTGTTTTTAGCCAAAAAAACGACCATGGATAGTAAGGCGTTTTGAGCCGAAATAAATGCCCATGTATAGTAAGGTGTTTTTAGCCAAAAAAACGACCATGGATAGTAAGGCGTTTTGAGCCGAAATAAATGCCCATGTATAGTAAGGTGTTTTTAGCCAAAAAAACGACCATGGATAGTAAGGCGTTTTGAGCCGAAATAAATGCCCATGTATAGTAAGGTGTTTTTAGCCAAAAAAACGACCATGGATAGTAAGGCGTTTTGAGCCGAAATAAATGCCCATGTATAGTAAGGTGTTTTTAGCCAAAAAAACGACCATGGATAGTAAGGCGTTTTGAGCCGAAATAAATGCCCATGTATAGTAAGGTGTTTTTAGCCAAAAAAACGACCATGGATAGTAAGGCGTTTTGAGCCGAAATAAATGCCCATGTATAGTAAGGTGTTTTTAGCCAAAAAAACGACCATGGATAGTAAGGCGTTTTGAGCCGAAATAAATGCCCATGTATAGTAAGGTGTTTTTAGCCAAAAAAACGACCATGGATAGTAAGGCGTTTTGAGCCGAAATAAATGCCCATGTATAGTAAGGTGTTTTTAGCCAAAAAAACGACCATGGATAGTAAGGCGTTTTGAGCCGAAATAAATGCCCATGTATAGTAAGGTGTTTTTAGCCAAAAAAACGACCATGGATAGTAAGGCGTTTTGAGCCGAAATAAATGCCCATGTATAGTAAGGTGTTTTTAGCCAAAAAAACGACCATGGATAGTAAGGCGTTTTGAGCCGAAATAAATGCCCATGTATAGTAAGGTGTTTTTAGCCAAAAAAACGACCATGGATAGTAAGGCGTTTTGAGCCGAAAAAACGACCATGTATAGTAAGACATTTTCAGCCAGAAAAAACGACCATGTATCGTAAGGCGTTTTTCGCTGAAAAAAAACGACCATGTATAGTAAGGTGTTTTTAGCCAAAAAAACGACCATGTATAGGAAGGCGTTTTTATACCT